CGTTTCTTTTCTTGGTCTCGATCCCGATCTTTGTCCCGGACCCTCTCCCGTTCCTTGTCCTGATCTTTTTCTCGTTCCCTGTACCGATCTTTTACCCGCTCCTTGTCCCGATCTTTTACCCGCTCCTTGTCCCGAGTTTTAACACGCTCCTTGTCTCTGTCTTTCTCTCGGTCTTTGTCCCGATCTTTTTCTCGCACCTTGTCCCTATCTTTCTCCCGCAGCTTGTCCCGATCTTTCTCCCGCAGCTTGTCCTGATCTTTCTCCTGCTCCTTGTCCCGCACCTTGTCTCGATCTTTCTCTCGCTCCTTGTCCCGATTTTCCCCTTCTTTTTCCCGTTCCTGGTCCCGATCTACATCCCTGTTGTGCTCTACCCGGCTGGACTTAGATGTGTCTGGTCGTCGGACTTTAGAGCCTTCATTTTCCCGATCTTTTTGCCTCTCCCCTTTGCTCTCTCGAGTCGACTCCGACCGTCCTTCCTGTTTTCTGGGAGTTTCATGACCTTTTCCCTCAGGCCTCACTTTGTCAGGTTTACCGTCATGTCTGTGCTTGGAGGGATCCGATTTCTTTTCCGAACTAACTTTGTTGGAGATCTCCCGGCGGTTCTCGTGCTTGTGTTTGGGAGTTTCTGGTCGTCCATCTGAAGCGGTTTTCTGTGGCATAGTCTCCACCCGTTGCTTGATGACTTCTGGACGACCATCTACAGTCTTCTGCACCTCTCCATCTGTCTTTGATTTAAGCCGCAAGACCCCAGTGGATTCAGAACCATCTTCTGGCCAGCGCAGGCCCTCTGTTGCAGGGACAGGACAGGAGTCCACTGGCCCTTCCACCCTGCCTGCCTGCTGAAGGTCTATACTGACCATCAAGGCCGGCCGACTGGCTCCATTACTAGCAGCACAAGCCTCTTGAGGTACCAATTTGTTCCCAGCATTGCATCCGCCACCCACGCCAGGTGTTCCAGAAGAGCCTGCCGTGCCCGCAGCTCCTGGTTCCTGAGGGTACGAATCCTGCTTTCTC